CAGGAGTGAGGCTGCAGACGGTGTCGGTGAACCAGCGCGCTGGGCCCGGAGGGAGCCGCCCCATTCGCACGCCCGCTGCAGCTCCCAGGGCAGGTATAGGAAGCATTGCTGTGGGCAGAGGAAGGAGAAAGTGACCAAGTCTCTCTTGCGGCTGGATGAACCGATGTTTCCTTCATCAGTCGGTCGGTCTGACACATACAGGGCCCCGTGCTCCTGTTCACGCACACGTACACGCTGCCCTCGCACGGGTGTGCCCCACGCTCCTGTTCACGCACACGTACACGCTGCCCTCGCACGGGTGTGCCCCGCGCTCCTTCTCACGCACAAGCACACGCAGCCCTCGAACGGGTGTGCACCCTGTGCTCCTGCTCACACACACGTATACACTGCCCTCAGACAGGTGTGCCCTGTGCTCCTGCTCTTGCACACGTACATACTCCCCTCGGACATGTGTGTGCCCTGACTCCTGCTCACACATTCCCTTCAGACAGATGTGCACCCCATGCTTCTTCTGCCTCCCAGGGCTCTGTGTGTGTGTGAGTATGCGCAGGCGTATGTGTGTGGGGTGCCTCCCAGAGCTGAGTGTGTGTGTGTGTGCGTGTGTGTGTGGTGCCTCCCAGGGCTCTGTGTGTGTGTGTGGGGTGGTGCCTCCCAGGGCTCTGTGTGTGTGGGGGGGGGTGCTGTGTACCCAGCCCGGCGTGCCCCACGCTCCTGTTCACGCACACGTACACGCTGCCCTCGCACGGGTGGGCCCCGCGCTCCTTCTCAAGCACAAGCACACGCAGCCCTCGAACGGGTGTGCACCCTGTGCTCCTGCTCACACACACGTATACACTGCCCTCAGACAGGTGTGCCCTGTGCTCCTGCTCTTGCACACGTACATACTCCCCTCGGACATGTGTGTGCCCTGACTCCTGCTCACACATTCCCTTCAGACAGATGTGCACCCCATGCTTCTTCTGCCTCCCAGGGCTCTGTGTGTGTGTGAGTATGCGCAGGCGTATGTGTGTGGGGTGCCTCCCAGAGCTGAGTGTGTGTGTGTGTGCGTGTGTGTGTGGTGCCTCCCAGGGCTCTGTGTGTGTGTGTGGGGTGGTGCCTCCCAGGGCTCTGTGTGTGTGGGGGGGG